ATCTAGACAAGCATTCTGACCAAGTCTCATGACAGGTGAGTCAAAAATGTGACCACTACAGTGTTAACAAGGATTATCCATATTTGAGCAGTGTGACCTAGTTTTTTACCCAGGTGACCCATATTCAAACTTGACCTAGAAATCATCAAAACAAACTTTCAGACCAATTTCCAGGATACTTGGATCAAAACAGTAGCAACTAGAGTGTTAACAAGATTTTTCTATTTTTAGCTCCGGTGACCTAGTTTCACATGCGATTTCGAACTCATCCGAGCAATTACCTAGACAAGCATCCTGACCAAGTTTGATGATAATTGAGTCGAAAATGTGACCACTAGAATGTTAACAAGGTTTTTCAATATTTGGGCGGTGTGACCTAGTTTTTCATCCAAGATGACCCATGTTTGAACTTGACTTAGAAATCATCAAAACAAACTTTCAGACCAATTTACAGGATATTTGGATCAAAACAGTAGCCACTAGAGTGTTAACAAGATTTTTCTATTTTTAGCTCCTGTGACCTAGTTTTTCATCCGAGATGACCAATGTTCAAACTCATCCAAGCTATCAACTAGACAAACATCCTGACCAAGTTTGATGATGATTGAGGCAAAATTGTGACCGCTAGAGTGTTAACAAGGTTTTCCTATTTTTAGCTCTTGTGACCTAGTTTTTCATCCGAGATGACCCATGTTCGAACTCATCCGAGCTATCAAATAGATAAGCATCCTGACCAAGTTTGATGATGATTGAGGCAAAAATGTGACCGCTGGAGTGTTAACAAGGTTTTTCTATTTTTTGCTCCGGTGACCTAGTTTTTCATCTGAGATGACCCATGTTCGAACTCATGCAAGCTTTCACCTAGACAAGCATCCTGACCAAGTTTGATGATGATTGAGGCAAAAATGTGACCGCTAGTGTGTTAACAAAGTTTTTCTATTTTTAGCTCCGGTGACCTACTTTTTCATCCGAGATGACCCATGTTCGAACTCATCCAAGCTATCACCTAGACAAGCATCTTGACCAAGTTTGATGATGATTGATGCAAAAATGTGACCGCTAGAGTTTTAACAAGGTTTTTCTATTTTTAGCTCCAGTGACCTACTTTTTCATCAGAGATGACCCATGGGTCCCTTTAAACTAGGGATGTCATTCGGAGTCCGGATATCCGAACGTTCCGATCACGATTCGGTGTAAATCGGCTCCGGATGTTCGTAAAAATATTTCAGTATAAGTCATATGGCGACTTTGCAACTTTACTGGTGGAGGAAAACCTCATGTGCCCCTCTGTGCATTATTTAAGGCACCTGAGTAGAACCACTGACATTCTGTAAGCTAGCTAGATAGTTTTCTTACATAAAAGAATCCAAAGACACTTGAGTGGTTTGAACCTACAGCAGTGAGAGTCAAACGCTAGAGTTATGATTTAAAGCTGCACACCTCCAGATGGGCCAAAATATTTCAGGAAAATCAATATTGAGAAAAATGCACTAAACTTTTAGGAACGGTAAAACATTCAATATCCAATTTATATTTTACATGTTATGTGCGGTTTAAGACTGATCTTGCAGTATTTTATTTCCATATATCTAATGCGTAACTAACGCGGTAAGGGCTGTTTTTGCATATGTTAACTAAGTTTTGATAATTTTCGTTGTTTGTAAGTGGCGATTGCAATATGTAAATTACTTTGTTTGTTCACCTAACATTATTTTACTTTTAAATACATTTCCAAAATTTTTATGAAAATTAACATGAATCTGGAGGCGTGTTGCTTTAACACAAAGGTTAACCCCTGTGATTTACTCTTGCAAATGGTAAAAAAAAAGCACTGAAGTATAAGCCAGCTTAATTTACACATTTTCCCTGGAATTAACCCAGGGATAGGGGTGATGTTCAGATGTCAGGTAACAACTATAATTGGTCAGTTATACAATACTTTAACAAAATTATACATTAACATACTGAATCATTTCTTAAGTTAAACATAAGCAAAACACTGGAATCACACAATCAAATCAAAACAAGGACATGTGAAACATAAAAACAAAAAATAAAAAAATCATTTCCAAAGTATATTTTCTATTATGTATATATATATGTAGAAGATACAATAAAATAGTAGCACATTTTATCTATCATATAATTATTATTATAATGGAAAAAATATTTCACTGGTTTTGGTGAAAATGCTGTTTAAAGAAATTGCGGATTATGACAGAATATGATAGATGAGACAATACCATCACAAAAGCTCAGCTCTGATCATTTTGAGCTCAGGTGAGCTAAAAAGTCAAAACAATAATAAAACATGAAAGTAAGAAAATATTGGTTTATAAATTCTTCTACAAAATACACATAGAGAATTTCAATTTAGATAAAAAAAAATTATATCAAAATCACAGTACAATATATATGACTAGAATTTTAATAACAATCATAATGTATTTAAAGCACTATAACTAAGCATAACAAGAGGGCCATCTTGGCCCTGGATCTCTCACCTGAGATACAAATGATGCAAAACTATCAAGTTGTTTGACCTTTATTAAGATTATTCATATTCATATGTAAGTGATATTTTTTTATAATTAATGGTATCCTTTTGCATGAAACTGGTTTAAAGAATAAAATAACCATACCAACACTATAACAATGCACCCCTTAATTAATAGTGGATTGTAGGGTTTCTTAATCGGACAAATGACCTATTATCGATTATTCAACTTGGTATTTGATCATTGCCAACCTATCCTATAAACTATCAATTTTCGATTATTCTCGATCATCGTTTAATCCCTAGTGGATTGTCCAAAACATCTGACCCCTTTTTGAAAACTCTGGGGTGCGTTTCACTAATGTTATTTATCGTAACTCGAGTTTGAACATAACTTTTTGCGTAAGCAGAACTTACGTATTTATTTGCGTTTCACTAAACTTTCTTAGCTACACATTTGTGTAGGTTTAAACGTGAAGTTACAATCATTAATTGCTGATGTAAATTGCACGTTCTGTTTAGTGAAACACAACTAACGTAATTTTACATTTTGTGTGAGTTCAAATTTACGTAAAAAGATACACTTAACTTATGGAAGATCATTACTATACCGACTCTTTTAAAATGTAAAAGAAATATCTTTTGAACACACACTCAGAAAATATGTTACGTTTTAAACTCTATGGATGACATAGTGTCATTAATAACACTGGCAGTTTTTATAAGAATAGACCAAATAAATTTGACATATAATAGGGAATGCAGCTTCCCAAACATAGTTTATACATTCAATTATTCAAATTAGACATATTCAGGAAGAATTTACTTAATGTCAATGAATTTTGGCATATAAAAGTATTTTACCTAAAGATGAGCATAAAAATTTCATTTTTAAAGTCTATGTTTTTGCTCCTGTGACCTACTTATTCATCAGCCTGAAACTATTTACATAACTTGAAAAGGGTCACCTCAGGATCATTCCAGTGAAGTTTGATCAAAATCCACTTACTGGTTAAGGAGAAGATCTTGTTTAAAGAAATTAAAAATAATGATGGGCGACAAGAAATGGACAACGGACACGCTGCCATCACAAGACCTTACCTCTGAATACTTTTGTGCTCAGGTGAGCTAAAAGTATTTGTTATACTTTACAAATATCAAATAACTATATTATTAACTCATGCCTTTCATAAGTAAAACATCAACGGTGCAAGAAAACCATATCCTATGAAGTGTTTCATACAGCATCCAAATCAGATTAACTGCTAAATTTGTAAAATGGATTTGCCCCGCTTTGAATATGGAACATACTGTCATAATCTAAAGGGGTTTAAAAGTAAACAGCTAAACTTGAACATCCAACACTATGTCAATAGTTTGCAGAGATGTGTAGAACTACCAAATTAAACTGCTGTCATCAGCAGATCATTATAGCTGCAAGCAGACAAAGGGTTAACATATAGACCAATATATGCTAAAATCACACACAAAATTGGCACATCATAACCGGGACTCAAACCACAGGTCTCTTGATTGTTAGTCCAGTACCCGAACCACTACACCACATGCTCTGACAGCGTTGCATTTTCTTCGTGCTAACTGACCTTATATATTTAAGTTTTTTTTAACTTCATTGTGACATCATCACTTTTATAGCCATACCATACCTATATATATCAAACAAGAGGGCCATGATGGCCCTGAGGTCGCTCACCTGTATTATATAGAACCCCCCCCCCCCAACCCATAAGAAGATGTTTCATGCTAAACATCTAAGCTCTAGCTCATTGGGCTTTTTAAAAGAAGATTTTTTTAAGTTTTGACTATACACATATAGTTAAAAACAATGACACCCCTGGGGCGGGGTCAGTTTTGACCCCAGGGCTTTTATTTCAACAAACTTTGTAGACACTTACTAGAAGATGTTTCATGCTTAATATCTAAACTCTAGCTATTTGGGTTTTTTCAAAGAAGATTTTAAGTTTTTGCTATACACATAAAAGGAAAATCAATGACCCCGGGGCGGGACCAATTTTGACCCCAGGGCTTTTATTTGAACAAACTTGGTAGACACTCATTAGAACATGTTTCATGCTAAATATCTTAGCTCTAGCTCTTTGGGTTCTTTAAAAGAAGATTTTTAAAGTTTTTACTATATGCATATAGGGAATATCAATGACCCCCTGGGGCGGGGCCAATTTTGACCCCAGGGCTTTTATTTGAACAAACGTGGTAAACACTCACTAGAAGATGTTTCATGCCAAAAATCTAAGCTTTAGCTCTTAGGGTTTTTTAAAAGAAGATATTTAAAGTTTTTTCTTTTGGTTGCCATGGCAACCAGAGTTCTGCATGGAATAAAATTCTTTGAACAATTTTTAAAGGTGGCCACCAAAGGAACAGTCCTGTGAAATTTGGATGAAATTGGCCTAGTGGTTTATGAGGAGATGTCATTTGAAGTAAAAGTTTATGGACGACCGACGGACGACCGACGGCCGGACGCTAGACGAAAAGCGATCACAAAAGCTCACCCTGTCACTTTGTGACAGATGAGCTAAAAACAAGGTTCTCTGATTTGTACAATATATAAATCAGTTGTCAAGTGTTTTGATGTTAAAGAAGACTTTGTTGGATCTTTATTTCATGAAAACCATGAAAATTAGAGACCCGCGAATAATAATGATTTTACAGTATTCTTTGTTACCTACGTATTCAACTTTTTAAATGCTGAAGTGTCATTTTTCTTAAATTCAACTGATGGAACATCTTTCTTCACAAAAAAGCTTCTGATAGAAGTCATTCCATCTGGTGTTTTGTCACCTTTTCTCTTCCCAGAGGCACCTTGTCTGACAGACTTTTTCTGAAAACATTTTCCTAATTTTCCATCCTCATTTAGTGTTTTTTGTTTGGAATTCTTAATTTGTAATGAATTTTCTGGACCACAGTTATTTGTATCAATTTTCCCAATGCCATCTTCATGGAGATCTGCAGATGTTTGTGTAGACATTCTAGTATTATCAACCTTTGTTAAATCAACAACACTGTTGTCATCTATGTTAATAAAGTCTTCCTTCTGAGTGCCAGCACTCGTTTCTCCAGTAAACGGTAATTTTTTCTTGATCTTCGTGAACTGTGTAAGTTTTGACTGACCTTTCAACCCCTCAGCTTTCCTCTTCTTTCCTATGTATAAAATAACATATTGATATCATTAAATATCACATGACTGCCAGTTTTAAATGTATAGTTATATTACTACATACATTTGTAACCTTAATTTTTATTGGATAATCACGATGTATATATAATCTTTATACATTACTTATGCCAATTTATGAATTTTTATTCTTCCACAAGTAAAGGTATTGTGCTGTATCATAAATCTTTGACAAGTTATATGTCATGTATAAATGTTTGTTTGCTAAATAACCATTATCTAGCAGTCCAGGTCATATAACCTTACAATTGTTTATAATGGGTCATATAACCTGTCCATTTTAACTAGATAATAATCATATTAACATACTTCTGTATATTAAATACATTTAATACAATATCATAACTTTATCATGCCTATTTACACCAAAAGATTGTTACACAAAAATGTAAGCCTTTATGCCTATCAACATTGCTGAGCATGTTTTTTATTCTGCCTGTCTGGAGACAACTTTAACCCTTTACTTCATAGAACCATGATTTGCCATGTTTATCTATTCCTTCTCAATACAGTGATATGATGTGTTCGAAGCTTACTTCATAATACCGGCATTTAGCGAGATCGGTTATTACCCTGTAACCGAGGAATTGACATGGTCTGTCTTATAATCCATAAATATAACATTTCTCTTGGGTAAAAGTATTCAGAAAGACAACTATCTTAAACAATAAACCACTTGTTAGCTCATTACAAGTTTTAAATTAAGATTGTTACTATTTATAGATTTTCAGAAAATTAACCTCATTAACACCTGTCAAAGGTCACGAAGACCACATGGAAATTTACTGCTGCTCTATTGATTTTTCTTTTGAGAGGTGTAACTACAGATGTACAGGTAATAACTTGACACTTAGTTTTCATAAAAAAAATATTTGAAGGACAATAATTGAGCCACATCATGACAAAACCAACATAATAAGTTTGCGACCAGCATGGATCAGACCAGCCTGCACATCAGGATCCATGCTGTTCGCTATCAGTTTCTCTACTTGTTATAGGGTTTGTAAGCGAAAATCATGGATCCTGATCAGACTGCACGGATGCACAGGCTGGTCTGGATCCATGCTGGTCGCAAATGCACTATGTTGGTTTTGTCATGGCACGGCTCAAATTATGTTAAGATGAAAGATAAATAACAAATCTTTAGATCTTCATTTCATTAGCCACAGCCTTCATACTTATGTTTCATTCTGACATTCTTAGATATGACCTTGACCCTTTAATGACAATAACCTTTAAGGTAAAATGTTCACAATTAAAGAAATTTCAACTTTTTCATTCATCATTGTTGGAATCAGGGACTTCGAAATTCTATCATTTTGTGAAATTCAAACCTTCTTTTAGGTATACATGTATATGTGTATTAAGTAACATTATACACATTTTTCATTATCAAGTTGTGCCAAATTGACCAAATTATTCCAAGAGATTACCTATTATAATGGTGACTGACAAACAGTTGAAACTGGAAAATAATTAGGAAACTAGAAATGTGTCCATAGGACACGGGTGCCCCCACCGCGCCACTGTTCTGTCAATCTTTTTACTAAGTCAAGGGAAATTACTCTACAAATACTGAATAAATCCACAAGCAAAACCCCAAGTGCAAATCTAAAATATGCTGAGCAACCTACCCATAAGGTTTAATGACTATGTCAAATCCTTTTTGAGAAACTTGCGACACATTTTGAAAATTGCAAAAAAATTTTCTAAGTGAAGGGCAATAACTCTAAAAATATTAAATAAATCCAGACTAAAATACCTGGTGCACAACTGCACATGCTGATCAATATTCCTGTAAAGTTACATGACTCTAGGTCAAATACTTTTTGAGTTACGCGCGACACAAGTTGAAAATTGCAAAATTTTACTAACTCAAGGGCAATAACTCTGAAAATAATAATAAATCCACTTGAAAATACCCAGGTGCACAACAACACATGCTGATCAACATTCCTGTAAAGTTTCATGACTCTAGGTCAAATACTTTTTGAGTTACGTGCGACACAAGTTGAAAATTGCAAAATTTATCTAAGTCAAGGGCAATAACTCTGAAAATACTAAAAATATCCAGACGAAAATACCCAGGTGCACAACTACACATGCTGATCAACATTCCTGTAAAGTTTCATGACTCTAGGTCAAATACTTTTTGAGTTATGTGCGACACAAGTTGAAAATTGCAAAATTTTACTAAGTCAAGGGCAATAACTCTAAAAATACTAAAAATATCCAGACAAAAATACCCAGGTGCACAACTACACATGCTGATCAACATTCCTGTAAAGTTTCATGACTCTAGGTCAAATACTTTTTGAGTTACGTGCGACACAAGTTGAAAATTGCAAAATTTAACTAAGTCAAGGGCAATAACTCTGAAAATACTAAAAATATCCAGACGAAAATACCCAGGTGCACAACTACACATGCTGATCAACATTCCTGTAAAGTTTCATGACTCTAGGTCAAATACTTTTTGAGTTACGTGCGACACAAGTTGAAAATTGCAAAATTTAACTAAGTCAAGGGCAATAACTCTCAAAATACTAAAAATATCCAGACTAAAATACCCAGGTGCACAACTACACATGCTGATCAACATTCCTGTAAAGTTTCATGACTATAAGTTTCATGACTATAGGTCAAATACTTTTTGAGTTACGTGCGACACAAAAGTGAATGGACGGACGGACGGAAGGACGGACGGAAGGACGGACGGACAGACAGACGGAAAAGGGTAAATCTAAATGCCCGCCACTAACGTGGGGGCACAAAAATATATAAATCTGCTTAAACTATCAAGACTGTCCCAATCTTATTATACATTGAATATCACGTAAAACCTGAAAGATATTTACAGACATTTCATTGATCCACCTAAGTTACTTATCGTCCATGTAAAGAAAATTATAAAATTGAAAGGAATCATGGCAAAGTGTAAACTTATTTTGACTTTCACCTTTCACTCACTATATACCCTTGGAATGGATGGGCATAATGCCACTCTAAGTTTTACATAACAGGTTATCATATGCAAATGACTGTACATGGTATTTTATATAATGGGTACATGGTTTTATAATAGATAACTAAATGAATAAAACATAAAACTCGTCATAAATAACAAACAGCATAAAACTCATTTCAATACCACATTAACAGCTTAAACACCCTATCTCTTGAAGCAAGAACGGAGGTAAATTTTTACTATTAAACTACAGTTTTAAACATTTACTAACCACTTCCAGACTTCTTCTCTGTCAGTTCTTGTTCAAACCTTGTGGCCAATGCTGGATAAACAGACTTAAACAGCGACTTTACCACCTTTTCTTTTATGTTTGTTGAAAAACTTGCACATGCCCAATGGTTCCTATCTAATGAAGTGAAAACAACTCATCAAAATAAATAGAACATAGCAAATGATTGAACAAAATTATGTGTATATTGTAGTTATTTAAATGATAGAGATTGTACAAGTGTCCTAGAATGATTTTTGTCCAGTATACATGCAATAATCTTTGAGTGTGTCTATCTGTCCCCATTTATTGGAGAATACATAGATGGCTATAGGAACAATAGTGACAGTACATTCTCTTTGATGTTATTTATTCCGTAAGCTTTTATGAGGCTCTTTTCCTTTATGTGACTAAAAGCACATTGGGAGAACAGTAGAGTAGCCACATAAGTACTTTATTGTTTAAACCTTCATCCGTCCATCTATCAAAATAGAAGCCAAACCCAGCCCGAATAGAGAAAATATGACCCCCTATTTCATGCTAAATTTGTATAATGGAATTGCCCTGCTTTAAATTTGGAACAGTCCATTAGAACTGTAAGGGAATTCAGTTTGGGAACACCTAAAATCAGTAAGCAACAAAAAGAAGACAGTCTTGTTAAAATGTACCGCCCTGCAGACTGGCATGGTTGTACACTGTTGGCAAATATCAGTTAATATTGCCTTATAAACTATAGTGAAACCTACCTGTTTTGTCCCACAGCACTTCATAACAATCTACATGATTCTCTTTACAGGCCCTTAATATCCTGAAACAGAATAAAATTACATACAACCTCTGATTTCCTTGCTTACATAACCTTATTTTATATATTTAATTCATTGGAACCTGGAGTTTGAATTCCTAGTAAAACCCAAATATTCTTTGCAAACATTTGATATCACAGGTATATAATGCAAATTCATTTTATTGGTCACCTTAATTTTTATGCACTACCCATATAGACATTGATGTTCAACATATTCATGAATATGAAAGTCCCATATTTCTTTTTAATAAATTGTTAGCTTTGATACTGTTTAAAATCACATCAAAATAACATAAGTTACATGTAATATAAGCCCTAAAAGACCCATACAATGTATCAAAAAGACTTTTAAGTTTCAAGTTGAAACCAGTGTGTTATGAAACAATTATTACACATCAAAGACTTTCCTTTATAAACAATGATGGCTAAAGCGTGTGTTATTTCATATTCTAACACGACCCGCATTTTTTACTATTGAAAATAGAAGAATCGAAAGTGTGTTATTATGCTACGCCCTCGTGATTTAATTCGTCGCATCCGAACTCGAAACAGTGATGTTATTGAGCAATAAATTCACTGTTTTGGATATATTATTTCTTAAACCTCTAATGTCTAATTCCCTCCCATTCCTACATATAAGGATGAGCATATCTCCAGTTCAACTTGGATTCCGACGCATTATGATTTCCTTTGTGTAATTAAACACGATCAATAACTAGCAAGGTTATGTAATGTAAATAATCGTTTTCAAAATGTATTATTCTTAAAAAAATTGCATAAATGATTAAATCTCTGAAAGTTTTTGCTGCAGATTAGAATACATGTAGCCTGTAGTCTAACACTGCTTTACCTTCTCCTTCATTGCACCTACATGTAACAACTGAAATATATCTTGCTTTTGAGTGCTTTGTAGCATAATTATATTAAACTGTATGTTGTTGATATGTTTTTTAGTAATTGTGTGTGCGTGTATTTATTTTATCTATGCTCGCCACAGGTTACCAATATGGCCAAGATTTTTAGATTTTGGGGGATAGTACAAGAAGATGCCCCAATTCCTGAAGCTTCTTCTGGTTATTTAGCGTGCCAAGTGTTTAAACAGCCATTCACGGGACCTTGACTTAAATTCTCATCTGAAAGTATGTTTAGTAACTTTACCGGGTAATTGTATGCCTTTGTGATTATATTCCTGCACATCTAAACTCCATACTGTGCTATATTTTACTACAACACACTCAAAATCAAGTGATATTTCTTAACATCCCCATAGTACCTTATTTTCTGTACTTACCGGACTGGAGTAAACATTAAATCAGGTTGGCTCCCAGCTTCCCTCATCTCCTTCAATATCACAATGGGAACCATCTTGCCTAAAACTTCCCCAGACTGCCAACCAAGTTGATGTTTCAAGAATGTCAATAGCTTTGGCACATTTATGGATGATTTTGGGATTTCCGAACAAGACTTGAGACCAGGGTTCAGGTATTCTTCTATCACCTAAAGCATTGATTTTCAAAATAAAAGAGTAATAAAAAATCCCTAAGGAATGCCAAAAAATGGCAAAATTGAAAATACTGCAGGCTCAATTCGATCGAGTTTGTTCATGGAGGGTAATGGTAAGTGCAAGCTACTGTCCACGCCCCAAAGCACCGGCTTAACCAGAATCAGCATTTAACATGAATTGTTCCCAATTTGAATTCAGAACTTCAGCACATGTGTTCACATGGTCGTAATCATGGATCTTGCAAAGTGATACCTACATGCTATACCATAAAAACGTGTATGGTCAAATGTAACGGTAAAGTTAAAAGTTAAAGTTAATAAAGAACAGACTTTAAAGAAGGAAAAATATCTTTAAAGTAAGAAATCCTGTACTTAGTGGCATGATTGTTCTCACTTTTATATTTCCTTATCTTAAATGATTTCATTTAGAGATAAAATCAAATAGAATATAACATAAAGAGGAATTAAAATTTGTAACACATTCAAATATACATGTATTGTAAAGATTGCATCATAAACTTTGTTTTTAATTAATGAACAGATAATGTACATGTATACCATTTTATTTGGAAAGGAAACATTCTCTAGTGATTTCTGCCGCAAGGAGACCTCAAGTTTGTGCTGTTTCCTCAGAGCTTCCTGTTTATGCCAGGGACAGTTACATGTGACCATACTGGTATCCTGGCAACCAATTTCCATCCCACAATCCTTGCAACCTGATGATTCATGTGCACTTATACGACCTGAAAATAAATAATGGCATATATCTTATATTCACACCTTTATTTTAGTTTATAAATCTTTTTTTAAATTGGGTTTTACGTCACACCAACCCTGCACACTCCAATTGGTGACTTATACAATAAGACATCAGAGATTATATTTCTTTTATCTGTCAAATACAGGCTGTTCCCCTTCTTCCATAAAAGCTACATGTATATTTCCCCAAAAAAGTGCTATATTTTTCACTACAATGCCACGGTGCACATTTGTCACCAAAACCATGACTCAACAGTGGCTAAGATTAGCTTGTTGATAAATTTAATGGACTGAAATATAGAAAGCTGTCACTATATATTGCCTCTGCTGTGAATCAGGCATGTTAAATCTAGAAATTTGATTATATGAGCCGTGTCACGACAAAACCAACATAGTGTGTTTGCGACCAGCAAGGATCCAGACCAGCCTGCACATCCGCGCAGTCTGATCAGGATCCATGATGTTCGCTATCAGTTTCTCTACTTGTAATAGGGTTTGTAAGCGAACAGCATGGATCCTGATCAGACTGCGCGGATGCGCAGGCTGGTCTGGATCATTGCTGGTCGCAAACCCATTATGTTGGTTTTGTCATGACACGGCTCATATTTGTGGCTATGCCTCAGTTGTAGGTGCTACATTTCAGATTTTTCCTTTTTCTAAATTACCATGCTCTATTTTCCTATTCAGAAAGCCACACTCAGTTGCTTTTAAAAAAAATCACTGGACAACTTTATCACACTGAATATCTTAAATGGACCAGTCTATCATTCAATCTGAACAACTCCATTCATTAATTTTAGGGAAAATTTCAAAATATGTACTGACTGAACAGTTAATATTGCAGACCATGATCAAACAACATGGTTGTGCCAGGAGATCTTTATCAGAAGGCAGGTCGCATGGGTACATTTATATTCAGTTGCTAAGGGTTAAAGTTCAATAAAATTTGTCAACAAACCTAGATGATCACATTTGCTACAGTGACATTCCTTCTTTGTTTCTACTGACAACCGTTCTTGAATACTGTCCAGTTCTTTATTTTCCCTCCATCCTTGTAACCTTAAACATTTTCATTAAAAATACATTATACAAAGTTTGTATTCAATACACTCAGAGTGTCGGAGGCTGTCCGACCACAATGTTGTATCATTGAGAAAAGTCTTATGCAGATGAGTATCATCATTTTGTAAGCCAGCTTGATAGTTATTTTCCTCATATGAAACATGTAGCATTGCAACTATAGGAGTCATGTTTATCCGTTTAAACAGGTACGGTCGGTTTTTAGCTAAAAACCGGTTAGAAAATTCAATAACCGGTAACCGAGATTAGTATTTGACTTAGTTTTTTTATGACATAATATAACAATTGTTTGTATCTAAGTTGTACTCAACAATGTTTTTTTTTTCCGATCTGATCGAATACGGTACCAACCTAGCTGTAAATAGTTACTCCATATTCGGATATGTATTGTAATTATTTTGAGTACAACAAAATATGAACAAAATGCGTATCTTGTCATAAAGTAACAAAGTTAATGTTGAAAATCTAAGGATTTTATTAGTATGAACAGTTAAACGTTTAACATTGTTATTATGTTGCCATTTAAACGACCAGTTTGCATTTTTTCTAACCACGACACCCCTAGTTGCAACTTCAATTTAAACCGATAAACAGAATATTATATAAAGTGGTGGCATGACAAAGTGGTTAGCAAGTCTGACCAGTAATCTAGCGATTGCTAACTGTATGGGTTCAAACCCCACCAATGGCAAGTTGTTGGTTCCTTGAGCAAGAAACTTTACACTCATTGCTCAGTACTGATTGGTTTTCAAGAACGGATTCGAAAGTGTGTCTATAAGGTTATCAGTACTGGTTTGGTTCCAGGAACGGATTCAAAAGAGTGTCTTTAAGGTTATAACTTCGTACAAAATCGAGAACTAAAATAAATTCTTTATAAACCAAACCCATATACAAATGTGCAAACTTTAACCACTAGATGGCACACAATTTCAAGTTCTCAAAAGCATTGTCACATATATAAGTACTGATATTCCATAATTCATCATACATGTATTTACCTGTCAAGTGGATTAAAGTTTCTAGATTTAAGTAGTTTGATCAGTGCCTTTCCTTTCTCCTTTCCTATACATTTAACTCCTTTCTCATCATAATCTGACCCTAACAGTAGTGCTAATGCTACAAGGTCATTTCTTTCTAGGTCAAGGTCAGATTTTATTTGATCCATATCAACTCTGTCAACCAAATACATCTGTAAAAGAATACAAAATGCTTTATCATACTGCCTAACATAGCTGTACCTTTACTGAGAGAAGTGTACACTATTACATCAAAGCAATAAGAACATATCACAAATGAAAATAAAAAATTTGTTACTGGAGTATTTTTCAGATGAACTGAAATACATCTTCCTTAATTAGGGAATCTTTTCATATCATATTTATGCCAGTTAATTAACAATGATGCTACTAACTTAAATATTTTGGACACCTGCTTGCAAAAGATAATCATAAAGTAAAATTAAACAGCTCTGGATGTAAAAGTATTGAGAAGTTGGCCAAAGATGTTATTGATATTTGGTATTTCTACCAATTTTTTGAATGTCAAAATTTCTGCTAATTTATGATGTGATAACTATTGACCAATCAAACGATCACTTAAAAACTTATAACATTTGGAAACATTTTACAGACTAAAATCTCATCTTGACATACAATTCTTAAATAAACATCTCAATAGCTTGATCCAATCAAGTTGATATATTTAATGAAGAAAAAGATCATCACTCATATTGTCATCATCAAAGCCTTCAAAAATGAAGTAACTTTTTCATTATGCAGCCCTCAAAAATGAAATACTTTATAATTGTCCAGTCCTTAAAAACACCTTTTTATTAGCCAGTCCTTCAAAAATATAATACATGTACCTTATTATAACTAAGTCCAAAAATGCAATACCTTATTATCATCCAGCCCTCAAAAATGGAATACCTTATTATCACCCAGCCCTCAAAAATGCAATACCTTATTATCACCCAGCCCTCAAAAATGCAATACCTTATTATCACCCAGCCCTCAAAAATGGAATACCTTATTATCACCCAGCCCTCAAAAATGCAATACCTTATTATCACCCAGCCCTCAAAAATGCAATACCTTATTATCACCCAGCCCGCAAAAATGCAATACCTTATTATCACCCAGCCCTCAAAAATGCAATACCTTATTATCACCCAGCCCGCAAAAATGCAATACCTTATTATCACAAAGCCCACAAAAATGCTAACCTTATTACCACCCAGCCCTCAAAAATACAATACCTTATAATCACCTGGCCTACATGAAAGTAGTATCTTATTATCATCCATTCCCCAAAATATGACACATGAACATAATATACCGGTATATGATACAATTTTATCAAATAACCATAGAAATGTAATACTCCTACCCTCAAAAATAAAATACATTTACCTTATTTTCTTTGGTAAGTTTTCTATACAAAGTTTTACCGCCATACAGAAAGAAGTCATTGTCTTCCGTTAAACACCCATCTACAAGCTGTAAATAAAAAATGATAGTAATAATTAACAGAACTCATCCTGTAAGGCCGGTTAATTGATGTAATCCAACATGAAAATAAATATATATGTTTTTAACGCCATTTACTAGTGACTACAAACTTAACTTGGCATGTACATGTATTATAGTATATGACAACAAAGTGATTTAATTAAATAACAAGAGGTTCATGATGGCCCTGAGTCGCTCATCAGAAACGACTGCTTTTCAGTGTTGGAAATTATTTTTCTAGGGAAATGACATGAGCAAAATTAAGTTGACTGTCACAAAGATGCTACAGACCAAATTTGAGGTAAATCTGCCCAACACTTTCAGAGACGACGATGATGGTTGACGCATGACGACGGACGAGGGAGTATCCCCCTTTGATACTAATAGCTCACCCTGAACCTTCGGTTCTGGTGAGCTACTAAAGGTTATGCTTAAAATGATCATATGGTCAAGATATTATAATTTAACCCTTTTATCTGCTGACAGCAAGTGGTTTTATTCCTGTGATGTGCAGACCAAGAATAGCCAGCACATCTGTGTTGTCTGCTACGGTCTGTACTGTTTACTGTTCAGTCATTACATGTTTTGAAAGTCATGTTTTGAAGATTTCCTTAAAATAATTCATTACCTGAATTGGCATTACAACACAAAAGACAGTTATTTTGCCCACAATTTGAACTCACAGCCCTAATGTCTGTGATAAGTAGTTTTGTTGAAAGGTTTTCAAAAAACAATGTCCAGTAAAAAACTTGTCCAATTCATTCATTATAGAGTTCTAAAACTCAAAGTCCCAAGCCAAAACAAACCATCAATTAGTAAATCATAGACCCAGACTTATAGGCAATCCAACTTTTAGGCAAGTAAGTATTGTAAATGTTATCAAGAAGTCTGCATTTTTGCACAATACACTTTCTACTGATGTAACAAGGCAGCAGATATGTAATGAAGCATATAGACCTAGACAGAAATGATTTTACAAACCTGTTTTTCTGTTTAGCTCAGCATACAAACCTAGACAGTAATTGATTACAAAAACCTGTTTTCTGTTTAGCTCAGCATACAGACCTAGACAGTAATTGATTACAAACCTGTTTTCTGTTAGCTCAGCATACAGGTCTAGACCAGTAATTGATTTACAAACCTGTTTTAAGTTTAGCTCAGCATACAGGCCCTAGACAGTAATTGATTAACAAACTGTTTTCTGTTTAGCTCAGCACACAGGTCTAGACAGGTAATTGATTACAAACCTGTTTTCTGTTTAGCTCAGCATACAGGTCTAGACAGTAATTGATTACAAACCTGTTTTCTGTTTAGCTCAGCATACAGGTCTAGACAGTAATTGATTACAAACCTGTTTTAAGTTTAGCTCAGCATACAGGCCTAGACAAAAATTGATTACAAACCTGTTTTCTGTTTAGCTCAGCATACAGGCCTAGACAGTAATTGATTACAAACCTGTTTTCTGTTTAGCTCAGCATACAGGCCTAGACAGTAATTGATTACAAACCTGTTTTCTGTTTAGCTCAGCACACAAAGCCTCTGCTTCCCCAGAACTCTCCACACAAGATAATCCAAGATATTCCAACATCTCAACACACTAGATATAAACAAAATAAAACCTAAATGAATATTCTTAAAAATATAACTTTAAAAACAAAAAAAGTATTTTTTAAAGTAACATGGTACATGGTCATATATTTGCAAGACTAATTGATCCCATACTATTCTAGGATAGTACTAGAAAATAATTCTTTGTCCATTAAAGCTGCATGCCTCCAGATGAGCCTAAATATTTCACGGAAATAAAAAAAATGTACTAAGATTTTAAGTAAAGCAAAAAGATTAAATATTCAAGGGATAATTTACATTTTATATGCGATTAATGACTGATTTTGAAGTATTTATCACCATATTTCTACTGCATGACTAATTCTACTGCATGACTTACACAGTAATGGATATTTTTACATATTTTGACCTCTTTTTGGTAATTTACATGAATTGAAAATGCCTTCTGCAATGTGTCAATTACTTGTTTTTGTTTACTTCACATAACTTTACATCATGCTCAACTACAGTAAACTTCACTTATAGCAAACACGGTTATAGCGAACTTCCGGTTATAAGGAACAATTTATTTTGGCCCGAATTTTGCCCTTCTTTATTTAATATAAAATAATATGGTTATAGCGAACACGGTTATAAAGAATTATCGCTTATAACGAACTCATTTCTTAGTCCCAATTTAGTAAAAAGTGCAGAAAATTAACTTTTATAACGAACTCCAAAATATCGGCCATTCATAAATATATCCCGCATTTTCAACTTTCGTTTTCATTGGCACGGATTAATACTCGCGGAATGTACCGTTTATTGTTGTATGTAATTCAATATATCTATGAAAATGAATTTGTAGAAGTATGTAATAGTTTTCTATTTAGGATAATTTTAGCATGAGTTCTTGTCACAAAGATACAACGGTTTTATCCTTTTATTTAATTATTTATTTTCTTTAATAGTTTTGCTCGAGTAAAATAATTATGATCATTTATAATCGGTTTTCAACATAATCACGCATGCTTGCAAACATAATCCAAAGAAATCTACAAAGTATGCTTGATTGAAATGAAAAGAAATCTATATATTTCAGTAGTAAAGAGCACCCTTAAAATATAATAGAAGATATTCAATATAAAAGGAAGAAAAAATGGAAAATCTTGTTTATTCTTATCCATGGAAAGAAAACGAAAAGCACTGAGTTAAGAAACAAAATATGATATTTTATGAGAAATTGAGAAAGGGAGTATAACTAAAACTGAAATACCAAAGGATTTTCAAATTCCAAAAATGTACGCTCTCAGGTATTGTGTCTAAAACAGAAATAAATGAGTTATTATTCTTAATCAAATGCTCTTCAAAATGACGGACGATGTTTAACAATGAGTTCGTTATATGTAAAACTGTTCGCTATAAAAACTCCTGATACAAGGAACTAATTCGCTATATGCTTACAAGGAACTCCGGATATAAGGAACAGATTTTGAATGTCCCAATGAGTTCGTTATAAGCGGAGTTTACTGTAATATTAATACAAAACTATCTTGTGAAGTTTAATGTACATGTATATAATTATACAGCTTGTGAAGTTCAATGCACATGTATATAATTATACAGCTAACAATAGAACTATATACTGTATTTGATATCAATCATCTAACAGCATGTGGTATGATATTATGATATACTGCAATTCTGTTATACACATATACCAGCTGATGATAAACATTTATCACCTAAAATCTCTTGTATCATGTTTTACCTGAGATACAGCATTCCTAAGATAAGGCCTGTCTGTGTTCACAGTGTTAGATGATGAACCAAATTGGTTCTGTTGTCTTTTCAGCAACGCTTGTTGTTTAATGTCCGGTGCTCGGCCATCAGTCACAAATACCAACTCAACACCCTCCTTCATAAATTCTATTGTCCTATAAAATAAATTTCTGAAAGAGAACAATTACATGAAATTAACAGAAACATTCAAGCAATCTATGGTAATGATTTTATTTCGCCTTTTCTACCAGACATGTTCCAAATTCCTACAAATTCCAATTTTTCCCAACACAGTGTCCACAATTAATAAAAAAATTACAACTGGACTGAACAAGTGATTCATTGTTATTTATTAGTTCAATGTCAAGTCTCCAAAATTCCCAATAATAAATTGAGCAGAATTTGCTGAAAAAAGATTGTTTTAAGTCTAATAAATTAAAAGACAGACTGATGCTGGCAGAAGTGAAGCCTGGGATTCAGGCGTTGATATTTTTTTATTTATTCATAACTTACGCGCTATTTCATACTCGATCGTCAGAGATAACACAACATCTCTGGTTTTGATAGTATCAACGATTTATCATGTCGATTTGCCGAACAGAAGCACATAAACAAGAGCTGTCCGTAAGACAGCGCGCTCGACTTTTTTAGTGCTTGCCTATAATACAAAACATTGACAGTTAAGGGCCATAATTCAAATAAAATCTTTGACAGAATTACCTTCTCCTGGACATGTTTGGGAATCATGATTGTAAACAAGTATTCCAACTTTCAAATTAATATCTCAAACAGTTCAGTCAAAAAGTGGACTGGTACTAAAAACTTAACCAAGATTCTAAGTCGATAAAAGGCCTTAATTTTTAAAACAAATCCTTGACAGAGTTACCTTCTCTTGCGTACAGATGGGGGTAATGATGTGAAATAGCATTAAAAGTTTCAAAAGCAATATCTCAAAGGGTTAAGGCAATAAGTGGATTTTACCCATATTCAATGTATTTTCTAAGTCAAAAAGGGGCATAATTCTGTCAAAAACCTTGACAGAGTTATGTCCTCTTGTCTGTTGATGAAGGTCGTGATGGTAAACAAGTATGGTCAGTTTCAAAGCAATACCTCCAATGGTTTTGAAATAAAGTGAGGTGGTAGTACAAAAAACTTAACCAAGCTCAATACACTTTCTAAGTCAAAAAAGGGCCATAATTCTGTCAAAAACCTTGACAGAGTTATGTACTCTTGTCTGTAGATGGAGGTTATGATGGTGAACAAGTATGGTAAGTTTCAAAGCCATACTTGTAATACTTCTGAAATAAAGTGGGGTGGTACGAAAAACTTAACCAAGGTGTGACGCCAACGCCGACGCCGACGCCGGGGCGAGTAGGATAGCTCCCCTTTTCATAGAAAAGTCGAGCTAAAAATCGACAGACTGGAACCCAGGCTAGCAGAAGTGATGAAACATTCATTATAAGCCCCAAATGACCAGATCTTGACTCCAGCCAATGAAAATGATGACGGTAATAACATATTCTGAGTCTGAGTGTATAGTGTCTGTTATTTTCACACCATGTTGGTTTTCCTCGAATAATAAATCTATTTGTATCATATTATCTGATAGACTCTATCTAAAGATCATTATCATGGCAATTAATCAATAAAACATATCTGAACATTATATGTTATACTCAACTGCTTACAAAAAATACAATCCTTACAAAAAATACTGTCCTTACATGTTACATTATCCTTGCAAAAAATACTGTCCTTACATGTTATTTATTGGAACACATATTTGACAAATTTCTGTTGTTGTAGTCATAGTCCTATTGTTTACATGTGATAATTTTATTGATTAATTGTTTTTTGGCCAAGTGACACATCTTTTTCCAAAAGTGAAGTATCTCAAATCAATTATCATAATGATATATTTATAGAATTATGGTCAATTAGGAATACTGTATATGTCTACATGTAGAATGATGTACATTATATTGTTTATTTATATTCCATTTCAATGAATAAAGATTTTATTCTCTATAAGCATCATTAATTTTGCCAGGAACAAAGAACATGTATAACGGGACAAGCAACAACTGACTAGACAAGAGGTCTTATGATACACAGACTTTAATTAACATCAAACTGACACCCAAACAACCAATAAATATAAGCATAGTGTTTAAATTATAAATTGCTTCTAAAAGTTTTATTAAAAATTACATTGATAAATTTTCATAATATCATTTTCAGACCACAGTTGTTTGCAGGGGAGGATACAGAACAGGGTTACCTGGGGGGGGGCTGACATATGGATGGAAGACATTGACAAAAAAAAATCGCGCGTGTTTGAAGATTTTTTTTTGGGCCAGCATCTTTGTTTTACTTGATCAAATTATAATTTATGTATTTTTATGTGATTGGGGTGGGTATGGGAGGGGTGTCCCATCCCATAGACTGAGAAAATTTTGAAATATGAGATTGAAAATGGTGTTATTTCCTTGACATTTTAGTGCTGTGTATGATACCTTTTGGTTGATTTAACATCACATTGTATTATTTATAGGTTAGTGTTTGCAGCGTCTTTCAAATAGTATTCTCCTGGTGTTTAGTAGTAAGCATTCATAAAATAACAGCATACTTACCAATGTATGCGCGACCGTTGATAAAAATAATTTCAAACACTCGATCAATTTATTTGTCTGAATAATAGTTTTATATATTAAATATATAATAGCGCTTTCCCAAAGTAAAGTGTTATTAAAATACTGCTTTTCTATTGTACAAAAAATAATAATTTCAAACAAATATTCAATAAGAATTTTTTTCCATCAATAAATCCATTTTAGATATTGAAGAGGTCAGTACAATTTAAATTTTATTTAAAAAATATAACTGCCATAAAAAAATATTAAAAAGCAAATGACCAATCATTTAATCTTAATAAAAATCTTAGTAAAACCAGTTATGATGATGAGATTCCTTAAATATTATCTTTATAAAAATTGCCAAAATTTAAATTACAAATAATAATTTTCAATTTCTTAATTTTAGAGCTTTCGCAAAAAAAATGGAAAAACAAAATTCTAACACTATCGTAAAAAATTTTTCTATATAAACAAAGAAGGCCCGAAGCGTGCATTATTCTACAACAATGCACTCGCCGTTCTTATTATCTCCCTCACTCACTGTATTTTCACATTCAGGGCACCATTTTGTTTAAAAAATCTGATAAATAAAAAACAATTTTTTGTCCAATTTCGTTGTGAAAACTATCTAGAATGAAAGAAAATGGTCTAACTAAGAAAATGAATCCAAACACCAATATCTTTAATTCAGTCGTTAACGCTGTACAGACGTTTAAAGTGTTATTTACATGACGTCACAATGCAGCGCCAAACAGCACGTGCAAAACAATCAAATCAAGTATGCTATTTTAATGTCGCAAACGAGTTAAGTTTAACATTTATTTCACTTTTAATAATTTGTATTTTGCTTGAAAAATTATAGACTGAAATAAAATAAACAAACAAAGTTTTATCAACGTTTTCCTCAAAATGTTTCCACACATGGTAGTTCAACCCGCTGGAACAGTTTCTATTGGAAACTCTGAGGCGAAAAAAAAAATTAACCACCAAACATAAAGTCCAACTTTATAATAATAATTTTATTTTTTCTTGACATGTTAGAATGGAAATAGATATTAATTCTTCGTGCATTATTGTATAATAATGCACTTTTTCGTTCAAATGCTTTGTAATTAATCACTCAGGCCTATCGGCCTTCGTGATTATATTACTATGCATTTGAACTCAAACCGTGCATTATTCTACAACAATGCACTCAGAATTGATATCTATTTCCTAAATAATAGTAAAATATAGTGTACAATGTTACACATCTATTTGCCACTATCTGTGACTATTAATTTCATTAGACTTTTGGAAAGTAATAAACCAATCAATTATGCAGCTTAAACATCTATCTATCTTTCTCTGGATACTGCCAACCCCTTTTACGAATGTTAAAGGCAGGAATTTAGTGCACGTCGGATTGTTAGTAAAAGGTGAAAAGAAAAGCTAAATAAGAAAAGTCCAAACATTGACATGCTTGGAAGGTGAGACTGGAAAATTAATGTATTCTAGTCATGGTTAAAATGTTAATAGTGAAACAAGATGATAAGAGATAAAATAGTTTAAAAACACTGGGAGTAAGACTAGTACTGCAAACCCACCACTGCCTGTTTGAATTGATTCAGGTTGGGCAGGGTGGCAATGTTACTTTGAAGTCATTCAAGCATGTTGATAGATAAAGATCTCTATCAAGCCCCCAGGCAGGAGATTAACAACTGAATGACAGCAATAACTGTTTTGATAAGGGAGTACACTGCAGCCAACTGGCAAAAATATATTCCAGCCCAGCTGGTAAAGGTATCTTTGGGCCGAGCTGGGTTTGGGGGGCTGCAGCCCTGAAGCCCGGGCCCCACTGGTTTGTCATGTTATATGATATTCCCCAGATTTAGAGCAGTTTTTGTTATGTACTGTCCAGTTTCATCAAAGTCTGACCACTTTCGAATGTCGGTGATTGGTTCCACTCTTTCATTGACCAGATTAATTTAAACTTAAGCCATGTTGCAGTACTCCATGACAAAGATTCCTGATAAACCTATTCAACTGTTCAACAAAAAAGTCAGAAAGATCTGACACATGATTCAACATGCCTGATGTAAATATTGTGATACTGCGAAGTAACTTTGCTTTGTTTTAATTCTACAATCCATGCACTCAAGTCAACGGCGAGTCTCTTGGCGCAGTCTAAAACGCGGACGCCTTAAGCGGACAATATAAACATATAGGGAAAACGCTGACAATATAGACAAAGAGGAAAAAAGCGGACGATATAGATATATAGTGTAAAATGACTGAGCATAGTTAAATTCATATTAAAGGCTAATAATTGGCTTTTATAAAGTAATATCTGAAAGGTGTAATTATTATAATAATTAAAAAAGACTGTAGTTTATTTATTTGTTCAAATTCTTAAATTTATGTTTTTTATTTGTTCATGTTAATTGACTTAATAACTTTTAATTAAACGGTGCAAAACATGCAACAGTCACGTGCGGAAAACTGAATAAGGGCACAAGAAATAAGTTTGAATATATTTGAACACTTTGCATACGCAATTCGCGGACATGATAAACATATAGGGAAAACGCTGACAATATAGACATAGAGGAAAAAAGCGGACGATATAGATATATAGTGTAGATTGACATTCTTTTCAAAATATACAATTTACTAAGATTTGTAATTTACTTTTGTTTCTATATTGCACATTAATTGACATATTAGCCGAATCTTCTTTTGTGTACATATATAATTATGAAATAGTGGGCGAATGAGTATATTTTTGAAAATTAACGTTTACCGGTGAAAATACACGTGTTGCAAATTAACTTAAAGCATTACAATTAAGTGTGAATGACTTTGTCACATTATTAAAATTGTCGGCTCTTTAGATATTGAGCAATTAAGACATAAATTTCAAAGAACAATATAGAAAAAAACAACATTGGGACCAATAATGAAATTAATTTCAGTCGTTATGTTTTTGATCTTTTGTATTTTTTTTCACAACTTTTTAATTGCAACTTATTCAATGGTAAAACTGTTAATGGTAAGGTATAAATACAGTCAATTTTTGTGCACATCCCTCATTTCCAAAATGCGGACAATATAGACATATAGTGAAAAAGCGGACGATATAGATATAGAAGGAAAACGCTGACGAAATAAATGTATAGAACGGGAGAATAGAAAACTGTTCTGAATAAAAAAAATATCTGGCTTCTACCATGTATATAATTAATTTATATCAATTAACTTTCTTTAATTCATAATATTTTTTAGTTTTATTTATATTTTATCCATTAAGTAAATAAAAGAAACTTTCTGCTATAAATACCAATCAACTAATTAAAGTATCCACGTGTCACCTGTGTATTTGACTTAATCACGCACCAACACTTGTATATTTCAAGTAATCATACATCTCACCCTTGTACAATTAATAAAGTGGCTACAGAAAATGCGGACAATATAGACATATAGTGAAAAGCGGACGATATAGATATAAGGGAAACGCTGACGCAATAAATGTATAGAACGGGAGAATAGAAACTGTTCTGAATAAAAAAATATCTGGCTTCTACCATGTATATAATTAATTTATATCAATTAACTTTCTTTAATTCATAATATTTTTTAGTTTTATTTATATTTTATCCATTAAGTAAATAAAAGAAACTTTCTGCTATAAATACCAATCACTAATTAAAGTATCCACGTGTCACCTGTGTATTTGACTTAATCACGCACCGACACTTGTATATTTCAAGTAATCATACATCTCATCTTTGTACAATTAATAAAGTGGCTACAGAAAATGCGGACAATATAGACATATAGTGAAAAAGCGGACGATATAGATATAGAAGGAAAACGCTGACGAAATAAATGTATAGAACGGGAGAATAGTAAACTGTTCTCAATAAAAAAATATCTGGCTTCTACCATGTATATAATTAATTTATATCAATTAACTTTCTTTAATTCATAATATTTTTTATCCATTAAGTAAATAAAAGAAACTTTCTGCTATAAATACCAATCAACTAATTAAAGTATCCACGTGTCACCTGTGTATTTGACTTAATCACGCACCGACACTTGTATATTTCAAGTAATCATACATCTCACCCTTGTACAATTAATAAAGTGGCTACAGAAAATGCGGACAATATATAGACATATAGTGAAAAAGCGGACGATATAGATATAGAGGGAAAACGCTGACGAAATAAATGTATAGAACGGGAGAATAGAAAACTGTTATGAATAAAAAAATATCTGGCTTCTACCATGTATATAATTAATTTATATCAATTAACTTTCTTTAATTCATAATTTTTTTTAGTTTTATTTATATTTTATCCATTAAGTAAATAAAAGAAACTTTCTGCTATAAATACCAATCAACTAATTAAAGTATCCACGTGTCACCTGTGTATTTGACTTAATCACGCACCAACACTTGTATATTTCAAGTAATCATACATCTCACCCTTGTACAATTAATAAAGTGGCTACAGAAAATGCGGACAATATAGACATATAGTGAAAAAGCGGACGATATAGATATAGAAGGAAAACGCTGACGAAATAAATGTATAGAACGGGAGAATAGAAAACTGTTATGAATAAAAAAATATCTGGCTATATTTCTTTATGTGAAAGGAATATTTTTATTTCAGCGATATAACAATACTTATTATAAATTAAATGTAATATATTTTTGGACAGCATTTTTTCCGCTTTGTATATATTGCCATCGTTTTTCCTATAAACGTGTATTACATTGTCTATTTAATATTGTTGTCTTAAGTAAGGGATTTTGTTAAAATATGTGATTGTTATATTCTTTATAGCTATATACATATATTAAGTTGTTACATTGATATTATTATTTGTATGTGTAAAATAAATTCATGTACCGAATGTGTTATATTGCTTAAATAAAATTGCAATGAAGTTCATTCTTTATCTTCGTTTTTATTACTGCACAATATTACTATACACTATCATTATCTATTTTATTATAATTTTATCTCACACATCATTCTACACTATATCTATAGCGCCCGCTTTTTTCCTCTATATCTATATCGTCCGCTTTTTCTCTATATATTTATATTGTCCGCAAAAATGGGGCAAAGAGCGGACAGGTTCAATCAGGTAGCATGTTGTTGACACTTAATTGTCGTTAATTTGCAACACGTGTCCGTCACAAGAGTATACGTGCATGCCTTTTTCTTTTTATCAACGACCATTAAACTTTAAAATTACCTTAAAAACATGAATTTATAAATAAGCGTGTTTTTGTCCAAAAATCATTGTACAAATGTGAATGAAAGTTTTTATCCTTATTTTTTTTTAATGTGGTAAATTTAGTATCATTCGTAATTTGAAAAAAATATATTATCTTATTTGCCATTAAGTTTTACGTATATGAATATATTATTCTATTATACAGCATTTCTATAAAGTTCATCGATTCCCACCTCATCATCAATAAGTCTACTCTAAATTTCTATATCGTCCGCTTTTTTCCTCTATATCTATATCGTCAGCGTTTTCCCTATATATCAGTTGTCGTTCTTGATTAATGGTTTACACAGAAAATGTGGTTGGATATTTATTTAAGTTTTAAATGGTTTCCAGGATATAAAGCTGATTATTTTTGGTATGGATATAAATATAAACTTTTCGTCTTCATGCCTAAATCGGATATATCGCCACAAAACAAAGAACCAAAGAGAAAACGTCGAAGAAAAAGAAACTCGAGTTCGCCTTTACACAGCGACGAGCACGAGAATCACGGGCAGATACCCGCCATTAATGGCGACGAGCAGACATTCAATTTTAACACTGATAAACCAAGTGTAAATCAACCGAGTGTGAGTCTCTCTTCTGTAAGTCTCTCTTCCGTGTATAATTCGGAAATTTGGAGCCAATTAACACACGAGATGCAAAATCCTTTTGTTTATCACAGCCCTCATTCTCAGCCATATCTATCTAGCCCCCCACCCCCCTCACATGGTAGCGGGGGTGGAAGCGTTTATCCAGCGGCACCACTGATATTTCCGGGTCATGGAATACCACCTTGGGCTTCTCAGATCATGGATGACGTAAAGCATCTTATGCAGGATATGAAAGATATTAAGGAAAAAGTTTCAAAAATAGACCAAATCGAAAAACATGTTACAAATATTCATAAAAAGCTCTCTGGCTTAGAATTAACTGTTAAATCACTGGATGAACGTACACTGGAAAATGAGAAATTGTGTTCTTTTCTAGCAGATACACATGATGTTATGACAAAAGACTTGAAAAATGCTACGGAAATGATGAAATCAATGAACATAAAATGTAATAGACTTGAAGCTGAAATGAAAACAATTACCAAAGAAAAATACAATATGGACGAGAAATTGATTGACCTTGAACGTAAATCAATGAGTCATAATCTAGTGTTTTACGGTTTACCAGAACAAGATGGAGAAATATGCGAAACTTTGATAAAGGAGACTTTTCTATCTACGGGCCTGGGTATGGATGAAGAAAGCGTTAAAAAAGTACATGTTGATTGGGCAAATCGTGCAGGAAGCAAGGGTAAAAACAAAGTGAGACCGATCATCGCACGTTTTAGTGACTTTAAAACACGAGAACACATTAGACAGCTATCTTATGGAAAGCGTGATGATCTTAAATCAAAAGACCTAGGAATCGGGGTGCAATACCCATATGAGATACGTGAGCGCCGCCGATTACTTCGTCCGATTCTGCAGAAATTAGAAAAGGATGGGCATAACGTCAAATTGGTCGTAGACAAACTTTACGTTGACGGAAAGTTGTACAGAGAACCTATGGAAACATCTACTACCCCAGACCGCAGGAACCATGACACTCGCCACTAGGGATGTCAACAGGGAACTATTAGAATAATTGCTTGGAACGTTAACGGACTAAAGCGTAAGCTAAGTGATAGTGATTTCATCGAATTTATTCAACAATATGACATCATCCTATTAAACGAAACATGGATATCAAATAAAGAACAATGTGATTTAAACATAAATGGATTTAAAAGTGAGCATATATGTGGAAATAAATCTCAAAGGACTACAATGGGACGCTTTAGTGGAGGTATTTCGTTGTATTTCAAGTCAAATTTAGCAG